GGGTGGAAAGCTCATAATTACGAGTGCATTGTGATTAGACTGAAGTCGGGATTATAAGACAACATGCCTCATTCTCACCTTTCTTTCAGCTAATGGAATTGACTCATCCTGCAGAATGAGAACTCAATTGATTTTTTTCCTTTCTCTTTGTCAGGTATTGAACTGGCAGTCTATGTGAGGATCTACAAGATTTAACAAGAAAGCAAAAGGTGAAAAAAATGGAGCTTCAAGCTCAAAGCTTCCAGCCTTGACAAAATGATTAGGTGGAAGAATACTTCTTTGTAATATAAAAGACACCATCTGCTAGTTGTTACTGACTCACACAGTGGTAAACAGCACACAGAAAGCATTTTATAAAATAAATGTTCATGTGACTGAAATGGGGAACTCATGTGGCCACATTAATGTGGCCACATCCAGTGTGTAACATTTAGGAGGATATATAGGCATAAATTGAATATAATATTCATAGGTATCGTTTCATTTGTGTAGAATCACCTGAAAATAAGAATAGTGACCTTAAAATTAACTATCTACAGGGTCCTTTTCTATAGAGTCCACCATGTTGAATTTCCATATTTCTACAGTAGCCCAGAACAGACAAACCAAACACTGCTGGTGGCACAGCAGCTTTGGACCACCAGGGAGAGGAGGATTTTTGGGTCCAGGGCTAGGAGGACCCAGGGGGAGAATGCTGACAGGAAGAGCGCGAGAATGGGCACCAGAATCACAGTCTCAACATGGCAGGTTCAGGCAGGCACAGGAGAGGCATGAAGCAGGAGAGGAGTGGAAGGGAGGTCAGGCATCAGTCAGTGCCCACCTCTAGAGGCTTGAGCTTCAAAACTGTTATTTCCTCACATTCTGTTCATAATTACAGTAAAATTTTAAATGTTTTAAACTAAAATTCTTACATATAGCTTTAAGTGAATAAATAAGGCAGCAGACTAAATTTTGCATTCCAACACTCCACTGATAAACAGTATTTTGAAAAATGAGGGGGATTATGTAAACCCTTTGCACAGCTTATAACGCCATCTGAAATATTCTGCCTCTGCAACCAAATCCTAAAATGCTTCTCCTTTTTTACAGTAAAAAAAGGAAAGGGAGTGTTTGTAAGCTGCAGCAATGTTTGTTAGTAGCGATAAAGCCGTGGCTGTGTTAGAGAAAATGAAAAAGACATGTTCAAGGTCACAGATGTTTAATTGCAATGATGTTATCTCTAATTAACCCAAACCGTCCTTGCCAAGCCACCATTAACAGCATAATGCTGCAGTATACCATAGGCAGGCTTGGAAATCTCTGCAGGGGTTATGAGCCTTCAGCTTGCAAGAATAACATAAGTGCTTATCTGCAAAAACAGATATCTCCGTTTTGATTTATTTTTCCAAATCATGTTTTTTTTGTGCACTCCAGGAAATATCAGTCAAATTGGAGTTGGCTCATTTGTTTAAAAATTTATTTTATCTGTTTTTGCAAATGAACTATGGACAAACAAATGTACATATGTTTCTGTCAAATTAAGGCCAAAATAAAGGGGTTTGAGGGTGTTAATCAATACCAAAAGAAATGACCCAACACCACTGAGGATTTGCTGGATTTAAAGCTAATGTGATCTGAATTCATGGGTTAAGATTTAAGGAATTATTCCTGGTTCAGACTTTAATTTGTGCAAGGGGAAACAAAGTGATATGTTATGATTTAGTTATGCGTCACTGAGGTTTAACAGTTAGGTCAAAAACATACTCACGTTTATGTAAACTGATTTATCTGAAAAGAAATAGAGGCTTCTTTTTCAGATCAATCACCCTTAAAGACACAATTCGAAGGGGAATAGCAGCTTTTTAGTATTGCCCTCCCATAAGTTTGGACAAGTGACAACTAGACAGGGCCACTCTACAACTTTAATTCCAATCTTCAGGATGTGATGTTTCTGCAGAATTTAAATAAATAGATTTTCAGGTTCAGTAGGTTTGAAAATGCCACAAACACGTCACAATTTAGCTGTGTTTGCAGTTATTAAGGACCATTCCACCAAATCTGTGCCTTTTCCCAGGACAATACATGCATAAATATTCTTGAAACCTATCTATATAATAGATCATTTTAAATTGGGTTACACTTTGGTTTAATTGCAATTTGAAGATGCATCATATAAAACCTTAATAAAAGCTATCTAAAACCTAACTATGAAATATAATTTAAAATCCTTCAGAAATGATTTTATTTTGTATTATTGTGTGGCTCTATTTGAAATTTAGACTTAAAATACATTTTCTCATTGGAAATTGATAACATGTTACACATTTTAGTTGTGTCCCAAGGTTTTCACTCCTATTATCCTGACACATTCCTCCAGTATACAGTATAAATATATTAAATATTTCCTCCTTTTTTGAGAACTGTCTGTTGATATTTCCTATTTATTTTCAATGTCTTTCCATTTATTAAGGAAAACATTAAGTGTGTTTTAGTTACTTTATGTCTAAAAAGCCACCAGCAAACTATGTAATTTCCCCCCATTGAAAGCTATCCTATCCACTACTACTGGAAAATGTATCATTCTAATTGGTAGGTGCATTTAAAGTCAGTGAACAGAAAACAGTAAGCAACTGGAACAAAATGAAGCAGAGGGGCAGCCACTATCTCAGGGGAATCACAGACTGTCACTTTAAATGGGAATTCAAATGTCAACATAGTCCTCAAAACAACAATCTAAATGTGTGAATATTCATAAATATCATAGAATTGTGGGAAATGCACTTGAATAAAGGGCTGTTGGAGGGCTCTCATATGGACCCCCACTATGTCTGTACCATGGTTACACCCTTGCATCCCCCTCACATTATCAACAAGAATCTTTTGAGTCTGCTGAAGGCCATGGGAAGACCAATAGTCTGAACAAGGATGTTTACTTCTTAGATGTTATTATGTTTTCTTATAGCAGGCTATAGTTTTGGTAAACCATCTGGAAGATGCAAATTGATCTCATGCTATTATCTTTGATGCCATGTGGTTGCATTTTACTTAATCTTACTTTCAGCCCTGGTACGAAAAATGCTTCCATTTGGAAACTAAATTAAAAAATTAAAAAATAAATAAAAAAACAAAAATGTAATAGTTAAAATTACAACATGCAAATGGCACCGATTTGGCTCCTGACTGCATTTGCACCAAAACACCTTAATAACTCAATTCTCTCGTCGTGGTTCCACTCAGAATTTGTGGTGCTGATGCTGCACCCTCTCCTACCGCGCCTTCTCCCTCTCCTCTTCTTCCCGCACCCCCCCTCTCCTCCTTTTGGCAGCAGCACTCTCATATTATTGGTGTACTGGCTGCTGGTGTATTCCGTATTTACTCTCAGGGCGACCCCTCCCTCAGCGACATGCAACCCGACCTGCAGGTGAACAGTTCAGCTGCAGCTTCCCTGTTTCCTCCTCACACTCCGGCTGGAACATTGGCGGAGGGCAAACGATGCGCTTCGCTCCAAAAAAAGAGCCGAGTTGCCTGTAGGATTTTAGGATTCACATACGGGACGCGGACCCGAATCGCGTCCGGAGAGCGCATCTGGATGTGATTGCGAAGGCAGACGAGGTGATGGTCTGAACTGGCAGCAGTGTGGGCGTAAAGGTGAGCCGTCGGCTGGGTTAGTTCTGTTTGTTTTGTTTTGCTTTCATAAAAGTGGTGAAATCCTGGTTGTTCTCTGTTTTCTGAGCCAGATAATGTGCGAGGAGAGAACCGGAGAGGGGCAAAGTAGACTAATATAGAAGAGTTCTTTCACCTACAACCAGTTTACATTGCGCACTCGTGTACTGACATGAGTGCTGTGCCTTTTAGCTTTTATTTCCATGTTCCCACATCTGCAAACTTCACTGTGGTCTGACAGTTCTTCTCAGTATCTGCTAATTACCTCCTTGGTTAATTGATTAATTGCTTGGTCTACAAAGACCTATAGTTAAAGTCCAACATGACCTCTTTTAAAAGTCAGGTCATGTCCTAGCAGCAGTCCAAAACCCAAGTTTACAATGATATAAGAGAGAAGAGCAGCCCATCCTCACATTCAAGCAGCTGCAACTACAGAATTAGTGGTATTCTTGCTTAAGAAATTACTTAAATGACGAATCAATTATCAAAAGAGTTTCTAATTAATGTTATGCTGATCAATCAGCCAATTGCTGCAGTTCTGAACCTCACTTTTGCCCCACTGTTTTCCTTTCCTGTGCTTGTTTACTATTAATCTGCTTACAGCACATATAAAATAATCATTATGAGACCAGTTTGATGGGGAAAACAGCTGCTTATGGAGATTTTGAATAATAGAGTCGTGTAATTTAACTATACTATAAATATAGTTTTTATTTTGTATAATATTCTTGCTGTAACATATTGAGTACTACAATACACTGCAGTGCTATAATTTCAGTCAGAGAGTTAAACACAGGTGATAGATATAAAAGAACATGCAGCAAATGTTAGAATTGAGTAAAGGTGTTAAATAGAAAATTGTAAAACAGCAAACAGTAAAAAGTTAAGTGTTGTGAGCTAAAACAAGAAGTCATCAGCTTGCATTGTATTGGTGGGAAATATGGAGGAGGAGTATGGATTACTAACATGTATGGATCAAGTTACACTTGTTCCAGTAGTTACTAACAGTTGTCGGGTGCAGATGATGCCAGCAGCCATCACTGCTGTATTAGAATGTGGATTTCAATTTATTTTTAGAGTTACATGCATGTAATGCCTTATTACATGTTCTTGCTGTTTATCTTTCCTTGCCCATGGTTCATAGGGAACTGTTTAGTGCCGGTAGTGCAAGTAGATTATTATAACTGTAAAACTAGAATAAAAAAATAAGGAGATTCATTTCTCTCTCCCTTCTTTCCTCTCTGTCTGTGTCTCTCCTCAGTGTCATATTAGCCATCCACTATCAGAGGCTTGTAAACCTGAAATGTGTACACCGAGTGAGAAAGTAACCTGAGATCCCATCCTGAGGGAGTACCAGGATGCGTCCCACTGCATCAAAGCTTTTGGGCAAGACCAACGTTGGAGGCAGCTGTTGCAACCCTGTCGCTGCAGCTTTGCTGCTCTCCCTGTGTCTTGGCTTCCCTCGCTCTGTGGCCACTTGCCCACCCTACTGTCTTTGTGCCAGTGATATAATTTCATGCAGCGGCCACAATCTGTCCGTGCTGCCCTTTGATCTCCCAGGCTATGCCACACGGTTGGACCTGAGCCACAATGCCCTCAATGTCCTGCCTGTGGACTGGATTTCCCGACCGTTTGACCGGCTAGCTACACTGGTTCTCAGCCGAAACTCTATAAGACAAATTGAGGCCAACGCCTTCGCTGTGACGCCACATCTTCTCCACCTGGACCTCTCTTCCAACCAACTAACAGTGCTGAACTCATCCATCTTCACTGGGTTGAAGGAACTGAAAGAGCTGCTGCTGTTTGGCAACCAGATCACCCAGATTAACCCAGGGGCCTTCAGTGATCTTCACAGCCTACAGAGGCTCTACCTCTCTGGGAACAGACTGATGGCGTTCCCTCTGGGGCTTTATTGGGAACCTGGATCGCCTCGTAATCTGACCTTTCTCGATCTGTCATACAACAGGCTCTCCGAGGTGCCCGTCCAGAACCTGCTGTCTCTCACCCAGCAAGATGGAATTTATTTGCAGGAAAACCCTTTGGTCTGTGACTGCGCTTTACTCGCCTTGTTGGAGTACTGGATGTGGAAACAGTATCGCCCCCTGGTGGACTTCAGAGATGAATATCCATGTAGAGACGATTCAGGACCAGGGTCTGAATGTAGCCAACAGGTAGTGTTAGATATGCCCCTTGAGGCACAGACTTACCAAGTAGAGCCTGGTAAATGGCTAAGAGTGCCATGTCCAGGATTTGCTTCTCCAGCCCAGGAGGGACTGGTGGTGTTCTGGGTTACCCCAAAGACTGTGGTGAATTCGTCAACCAATGATCCGGATGACCACATAATAGTTTTCCCCAATGGCACCCTTGAAATCCGATCAGCCGTGATGGAGGATTCTGGTATGTATGGGTGTGTGACAGCACGCAGGCGCCACTATGACCCCAGTGAGTCTCTGGAGGTCAGCGTGGTGGTCGGAAACTTAAGCACTACCTCCACCAGCGGCTTGCCACACCGCAGTGGTGCCGAGCATTTCAATACAGCGTTCACCACCCTGGCTTCCTGTGTGGTCAGCATCATACTAGTGCTGCTCTATCTCTACCTCACTCCGTGTCGATGCCGGGAAAGCCGGGGCGGGGGAACGAGAGGGTGTGGCGGACGAGCCATCATTCTCTGTTCAGACCCCAGAGAGGTAGAGTCAGGACAGCGGAGGTCAAATGGAAAGAGGGTGGCTTTCTTAGAGCCTCAGACGGAGGACTCTGATATTGGTGTTCCAAAAACACCAGCAATGAACTTGGGTCATGTTACCACTGAGGGAATTCTCAAGAATGGAAGTAGGACAGTGGGACAGGCCCTCATAGACCCTGCTCACGTGGTATAGCAAGAAAATTACCTTTTGCACATTCCTGTATTCCTAAAGTCTGAACCCAAGTGTTTTTTTCACTGTCTTGTTTCAGTACATAACGAGAAAATCCATTTAATGTAAAGTAGTGTACTGTGATTCTTGTGAAGTAGGTTTGCGCCGTAGGGTTTGGGTGTTTGGTCTGAAGCTGAAAATGCAGCCCTTTTGTGGGCAGAATTTCAATTATGTCTCGACTGTAAGTGGTGTCTGTTTTCTATAAGAGGAGTTCATATGGAAATTTCCCTGTTAACGCGGGAAATTGTTACTGCAAAGATCACAAAGATCATATAAATGTGGGTGGTGTTTTAAATTGGGCTCAGAGGAATATTCACACCTGTCTTGATAAGCTGCTAGAGGCATTGATGGTTATTATACAGTATATGCATTGTGAATATTGCCAGTGACCCTTGTTATTTTTAACCATCTGTCTCTGTGCTGTGGAACTTATCATTATCAAAACATGTGAGTGGTGTGTGCAATTATCTAAACTTTGTTGTTTTGCCAGACCGCTACACACCCTCTTCAAATGATGTTAATCAAATATAACCCTGTGAAAGTTCCTGTATAAAAAGCAAAAAGAAACAATACAAAGTAAGACATAGACTAGCCTAATGTGTTGATATTAGGTGAAACCTAGAACCTAGAAAATGTTCACTCACAAATACAGACTGGTGTTTAGTTGGATGAAAATCCATTTGATGAACTCAAATGTGGTGGAATTCTCTTGGAGGGGTGGTCCATCCAGATTGGTTTCCCTTACCCATGTGTATTTGTTTAGGTTTTTATACATCAATCTGAGATTTCTGTCTCCATCCCAATACAGTGGAGGTGAATTGAATTTTGGTTGTGTTGTTCTTAACACTGAAAATTACATTTAAAGCTGCATTAATCAATGGGTCAAATGACTGCAATATGAACATAATTACTCAAAGTGATGAACAAACTAAGAATTACAAACCGATCACACTGTTTCTCTGGAGCATTTTAGTGCCTTTCATCTAATTGTTTTGACTTAACAGCCCGAAGCTTTACTGTTTTAGCTCATCAACCCTATTCCAGCCACAGAAGGCGGCTATTCTCAGCAAAAAGCACCAATAAACCTACTCTACGCCGCTCGCTCAGCAGCAACTGACTAGCTGGTGAACATAGTGGAACGTTTAGCAGCTTAAGATAAAGCAAAACAGAACTAAAAGAAGAGTAAATACTGGGCCAGAAACATGGCTCCAAATGTATGCTAATGTTGCTCTGTGTCTGCTGAATGTATAAATAGGCAACAGTTTGCTAACACGTACAGCATTTTAACTTAATTAGGTGATAATATGTCACTGTTGTTTACAGCTTGTTTCACTGCCCCCAAGTAACTAAAAAAATCTATTAATACTGTTTTAAAATAATTAGCATTCAGATTATGCAATGTCAGGCCAAACACATAATCCACAGACCTCACTGAGCAGTTTCCTTTGAAACTTCTGTCTAGTGAAGTAAATTGTCCCTTCAAAAACTGTTGTCTTGTGGATCATCCAGGGCACATACAACTCCTGCAAGATGATGTTTATTTTCCATAAATAACCTTTAGGCTACTGGCCCGTTTCCATATCTCCTGTTGTCACGTTAGAAAAAATAAGGTTCTGACGTCACTCATTCACTTGCTTTTAAAAAGTGCAGGCAGATAAACATACTCACTTAAAAGTAACTAGAAATTTGCATTTAAAGGTTATTTTCCAAAAAATAAATCCCGGGTGAGCATGGCCCTGGATGCCCCTACTTTTTCTGGGTTTTCTCTACCCACACAATTTTGTTACAGAAAGAATAACATCAAAAGAAATGTGTTTGACCATAATCAAAATTCCATTGACATTCATTGTATTGGGGTGGAGGCAAATAAAAACCTGCATGGCTACATATAAGACTGAAAATAATTTGTGTGGACTGACCCTTTAATCTGACTTCAACCAACAGATATATATATATATTAAATAACTACCATAATTTGAGGACTATATATAAAAAAAAATAGTACTATGTTGACACCTTGTTGACAAAATTAGTCCACAGAGGTGTCAGAGTTCAAGTCTAGACCAGTTCACCTGGAGCTGGTTCGGATTGATACTTCAGCTGGCTGGACACATGTCAACCTGATCCCTGTTCATCCTGTGAAAAACGGACTTCTCTGCTACCCCTCCACCTTGTTACACCGACCCACAGCTTTACAAACAGCAGATTCCCGGAGGAATTGATCCTTATCTGTTCAGACAGGAGCGGAGTTTGGGCTCTGCGATGAAGCCTCACTCAGCCCAGATTAGTGTCACAGAAATCAGGAGGTTTGCCGGCTTGCCCCAAGCCCACCGTGACCCACATTCCCCTGTCCTCCCTTTATTATGTTTTTATAGGTATGTGGAATAAGTTTCCTTGGCCGTACATGTCCATGCTACCAATGTCAGAATATTAACTTCTTAAAGTTTTCTCTGCTCTATTAGACGCAGGATCATTTTAAGTAGAGCAGTGAAGGTAACTCTTTGTGAGGACTGATATTTTTAGGTATGAAATAAAATGTTTCAGTCTGGAGGATGAGTGTGTTCTTTTATCCCTACAAGTGAATATAACAGTAATACCCATATATGACTTGTTTAGGATCTATTTTCACCGTGTTTGGCTCCTCTCTGGGGATCTGGTGCAATCTTTTTTGGATCTAAAATGCAAAGAGGCAGTTTGGGTGAAAAATGAAAAGTAGTGTTACATCAGAAGGATTTAAGGATGGCAAATAACCTCTTAGTGAGTCAACAAATCGCATTTTCAAAAATCCTCTTACAAGCCTTTTTTGTGACCAGCTGAAAAAAGCAAAACCCTTTAAAGCCTTCTTGTGCACTTGTTGGTCAGTACTTTTCCAAGGGGAAAGACATTTGATATGAACTTACACTAATTAAAAGTGGTGTAATGGCAGTGAGGACAAGGAGGCAACAGGCCAATGGCAGGTGTTGAATAGGTTTCAGGTAGTGATGGATCCCATTGGGACTAATTTAAGCATCCCTCGCCGTTCGCTGTGACAGGGTGCTTTTCACAGGTCAAGACAGTGACATTTGGAGAGTGTTGCAGGTGTTGTCAGTCCAGTAGAGAAAACTAGCAACTAATTTCCCCATTCCAGTTAGCAGCTTGCTTGTTAGTCACTGAATAATATTTGAATGATAATGACTGCAACAATTTATAGTAGAAATAGCACATAACTGTAGCCTCATTTAATATCTTCCCTTTATTTATTGTTGGTTTTAACGTGGCACTCCACAGCTATTACACACAACGATTACCAATTATCTCAGGTTAGGTTTAAATACCAAATATTTATAAAAACACATAAATGTGAGCATGTGTAAGGTGTGAATACAACACATTTATGGCCGAAAGCCTGCGTTACAAACTGAAGGTGTGGAGTTTCAAAGATAAGGGCATTTAACAGGGAGAGTCTGAGGGTTGGGTTGTGCTCAAACAGAACTAGTTTATAAGAAATGTTGAAAATCAATGTTGACATATTGGTGTTTATATTTGTTCCTAACGGCCACGCTGGAAAGCAGAGAGAAAAGCCGAGATAGAAAAGGGGGCGACGTGACACATTTTCAGACAGTCTCTCCTACAAGACATTAGTGTTGCACTCATAAAAGTGAAGTTGTGTGAAGAAAAAAAAGGAAGTTAGAGAGAGAAAATCAAACCCTGAATTCTGTCTTAGTTCAACGAACCTGACCAATCAAGGATGTCCCCCCCCCCAATGAAGGGGGAAGATTCTTGGTTTCAGGAAGCTGCAGAAGTTCTTTGATGCCCTAATTCCATATTGGGGAAGGGGGTTTCCGAATCTATTCGAACATCCGACAAGCCATGGAATAAACTGGCAGTTTCATGAAAGACACTGTTGAATTGCATTATGGGAATTGTAAGATCTAGTGTTTTTGGAGTTTGGGGACTAAAAGTCAGGATATCTGATTATATTTTATATGCCTAACTCAGTGCCCCAACTTTATGGATGTGCAGTATTAAATTGATGCATTGACCCTTTAATGAAAATGTTCATATGCATGTATTTGCACATTTATGTTGCCTGTGATACTCAATACACAACACCCAGAATAAACTGGAGCCAAAGACTGCTATACCAAAATATAGATTTTATTTACAATGTATGAAATAAAACATTTGTCTCCATTCAATTAAAAGTTAAAAATAAAAGGAAGGATGGAGTAAATTGAACAGTTAATAAATCAAATCAGACATTAAATGAGCAAGCAAAAAAAACAAAACAATGGTGGGGCTAGACTACACCATCATGGAGGTTAGTGTAGGGTTTAGCAATGAAAGAGGAAATTGTCACAAAATATGGAGGCAAATTATGAATAAACTAACACTACAAATCAACACTCAAATGACCCTACTCACAGCAAGCTACGGTGAGTCAAAACAACACAATAAATCACACACGCAAGACAGCTAATCTACTACTCAGTCCCCCTCAAAACCCCTCAAGTAAATTAGAACAGAAAATGGCCTGTTCAGTAGATGAGTTAAAGGCACACTAAAATCTAATAATTCATGGAATAACTGTGGCTGGCTCCTCTACTTGTGCCTTTGTTTAAAGTAGTTCCCTCCCCCTGTTAGAGGCATGCTGGTGACTGGAATCTATATTTATAAAGGAACATGTTAATATTGTATTAAGGTGACTAAAACCCTGTTATTTAAAAACATCTTCGTGCTGCTTGAGCATACCTTGTTTCTTGGCTGTGCCTAAACAGTCAATCTAAGCTTTAGTCCCTCGCCAAAGGTAAAAAAAATACATTTTTAACAATAATCTTTAAAAAATATTTAATTTTATTCTATGAGCTGGAAGAAATATTTTAAAGTTCTACAGTTTCACCATCAAAATCATGCTTTTAAACATATTTTAAAAAAGGGAGCCTACCAAATGAAACACCAAACAAAAGTTCAGCTGCTCTCTCAGG